ATCGAAGGAAGCTTTCTCTACAATATTGATAAAATTTCGGAGATTGTAGCTCGTTTATTCACATAATTCATATTTATCATATTTTTCTTGTCTTGTAATTTTTTTACAGACTTGAATTTTATCGCGTACAGTATCAATAACTTTTAACGAGTTAGTAACTAATTAATCATGTCAATCTACATGTCGACTCATTACGACCAATTTCATTTGTGTGTGGCGATTTAATTAGGTGTTTTTCAGATCATGTTCATTCCCTGTTTATATTTCTAGTTAGAAATTGTGATTCCTACATGTATCAACTTTGCTAATTAAGTCACGTTTGTTTATATGAATATGGAAATTTTCCTTTTTCCAACTATGTAAGATTAATTAGTTGAAACTATATTAGTGAAAATCTGTATAAAAGAGAGGATACATGGCATTTGAAGTAAAATTTAAACCATAGCAAAATAAACAAGAATACTTAGTCTCAAAATTAAAAAGTAAACAAATAAAAAAACCCGTTTCTACATTTTTTCTACTTTATTTTTTTGACCTTTCAACAGTGGATGTTCTTTTTCTAGTGATTAAGAATTTCTCTGAAACCAGTGATCACTTTGATATTTCATCCCTAAACTATCGAATGCCTTTCTTAAAGATTAAACTTGGTTCACAGAATGGTAGCAGAACAACAAATTGCATATTTTATCCCTAAACTAATTTTGAAATATCACAGAAATCCCTCAGCTTGTTTTGATAGCAGTGGTCTCTAAAATCCAAACTATTGCTAAAGTCTCATGCAAGTTCCCTTAGGATTTATTTAGACTTTTCGGTTTTAAAATTATTCGTTTGCAAATTTCTCCTCCAGCCAAGTAGTTATGCTTTATCAGAAGAAAAAACACACACACACACACACATAAATCTAAAAATGAAGTAATTTTTCTATGCATTAGTACAATGCAATCAAATTACATTCACAAAGCGACAATATTTTAAAAAATTTTATCCTTAATCTCAAGGTCAAATTTTGACTAAATATGAAGATTCTGCAGCAAAGAAAATCCAACATGAATAAGTCAGTCACTCTATAGGGGATTGAAATTCATAGAGATCGCAATATTTATATGTACCTCATAAATAAACCTTTTCTCAAATATTTTGCTCTTTGAAGTCAAAGGAATCTAGAAAATCTTAAGAGTTTTTTTTCATAAAAGCATTTCATCCCACAATTATCTTATTTCTATTAAGTTGATCAAGTGCTTCTCTTTATTTTTTAATTCTTCTTGTTTTTGTATATCAAATTGATTTATCATTTAGGCAAATTGGTAAATTTATACTTGAGGAAAATTTTCCATGAATTTGATTAGGATCATAATCAACCTAGTTCACCCCCGTCTTAGATTGCTCTTGGGTCTTACAATTAGTGTCAAAGTTTGGTTTCCTAGAAATTAAACTCAATTGATTTGGAGTAGATCATGGCAACCAGCAATGCATTGTTTCTAGAAGGTCAATCCATCACTAGACCACCTTTGTTCAATGGGGACAATTATATTAATTGGAAGAAAAGAATGGTAATATTTTTGTAATCTATTGATATAGAATTGTGGTATATAGTAAATGAATGTCCTTATGAAACCACTATAGAAGATAGAGAAATCGGTAGGATTAGATCTAAAAGTATAAGTGAATTGAGTGTTCAAAACAAAGCAAATCTTACCTTGAATGTAAAAGTTATGAATGTTTTGGATGCAAATAAATCTAATAGAATAAAAGGGTGTAAAATAGTTAAAGAAATATAGAATAAGTTAAAGGAAATTCATGAAGGTAGTGATGATGTTAGAAAACAAAAGAAATCCTTATTTATTACTAACTATGAGCCGTTTAATATGGAGGCACATGAGAATATAGATAACATGTATTGTAGATTTAATGATATTATTAAAGATCTTGAAGCACTTAACAAAGAATATACATTGGATGAGAAAAATAGAAAAATTTTGAATGCATTATCTAAAGATTGGGATAGTAAGGTTACCGCCATTGAAAACACTAGATATTGAAATACTATGTCTATTGAATCTCTTATTAATCTACTAATCTCCTATGAGTTGAAACTCCAATCTAAAGTGTAAAAGGAGGAAGATGTAAAGATGAAGAGGAACATTGCCCTCAAGGCCTCCCAAGAAGATGCATTTTTAATTGATGGTGAAGATATAGAAATTGAAGATAATAGCCTAGCACTTCTCACCAAAAGTTTCAAGAAATTCCACTCCATAAAAGAAGATTTAGCAGCAGTGGACCAAGCAACAATTCGAATCAACTCAATGTTTCAAGAGGAAAGGCCAAGCAAGAAATGAGTAAGAAACAAAATGAAAAGTTTATGAATGTGGTCCAATGGGACATTACATGAATGAGTGCCCTATGAAGAATCAGAAGGAAGGCAAAGCAAAAAGAAAACAAAGATTCAATACTTTTCAAATCATTTTGCAATGAGTGCAACTTCGATAGTAATATAAAAGAAGAGAAAGAAATGGGTTAAATGGCATTTATGGCTGGTGGTAATGATGAGGTATCAACAAGTCTCTTTTCTCTTGAAAATAATGATATTGATTATGATGATGACCTTGAATTTTTTAGGCTAAATTGCAGATAGTTTGAAAGATTTCTATGCTAAAAGCAAAGAGTTGAAAGTTAAAATTAATGCTTTGTTGAATGAGAACTCAAAACTCTTTCAAGAAAACAAAAAGTTGAAAAGGAAAATGTGATTCGAAGAAACTTAAACTTGATATTGTTTGTAATCAAAGTGATTTGAAAAAAGAAACTAGGTGAAAGAATAAAGTTCTATGAGAAGATTATAGAAGAGTGATGTTTGTCAAAAAAGAGATTGAATGATTTCCTTCAAAAGGAGAAACTAGGAGTTCTATAAAAGGAAGTTGATGAAACCAACTTTGGTGCAAATAAATTTACTATTCATAGAAAAAGAGGAATAAGGTTTTTAAAACCTATTTGTGTGAAAGATTCAAGTATTATGTGTAACTTTTGTTGCCAAATTGGTCATATGAACAACAATTATTATGTGGAAAAGAATATGAGAAAAGGAATGAGATCTATGTGGATTGTTAAAACATGTACTAACTCTTGTGAACCCAAGAATCAGATGGTACCAAATATTATTTCCTGCTCTCTTGTGTAGGTTTATTTAAAAAACACCATGTGTAGGTTTATTTAAAAAACACCACCAAACAATCAAAGTAGTATATAAACAGTGGGTGATCAAAATATTTGATAGAAGATACGTCACAATTCATCAAGTTAAAGTCAAAAGATAGTGGAAAAGCCACCTTTGGAGATGATAAGAATGCCACAACTTTTGGTATAGGTGATATTGGTAAAAATGGTGAAACTTTCATTCAAAATATGCTTCCAGTCGATAATTTGGGTTACAATTTGTTAAGTGTTAGTCAATTACGTGATAGAGATCTTTATGTACTATTCAAAAAGAATGAATGTTTGATTTTTGATACTAGTTTCAATATTGTTTTCAAAGGAATACAATGATATCTATATAATTTATCTTTAAAAGATTGAACATTTCAAAATCAAGTGTTTCAAAGTGTCTAATGATGATCCTTAGTTGTGGCATAGGAGATTTTGTCAATTTAACATGGATTTTCTAAATGAAATTTCTAGAAAGGAACTTGTAAGAGATTTGTCAAAAATCAACATTTGAAAAGGATAAAATTTGTGATACTTATCAATTTGAAAAATAAACAAAGGTCTCTTTTGAACCAAAAAATTTGTGTTTCTACTTCTAAACCTTTAGAACTTCTATATTTAGATTTGTGTGGACCAACTCAAGTTACAAGTTTTGATGACAAAAAAGATTTGCTTTTGCAATTGTTGATGATTACTCTAGATACACTTGAGTGCTATTTCTTGCTCATACAGATGAAACCTTCAAAAGCTTTGTTTCTTTATTTTTTTATTTTTATTTTTTGGCTAACCCCGTACACGGGGGTGGGCGCCACTCCAATTTTTATTCAAAAAACCATCAGTGTACATCGGAGGAGACTGACATTCATCCGACAAACCCTAAGCCAAGCGTACATAGGGTGTCTGTATCTTATCTAGGTGAGCTAATCCCTTTATATGCGCTGGAAATGAAGAAGGAGGAAACCTTTGACAAACATGCATGGAGCTTGCTAGTTGTGCCAGGGCATCTGCAACTGCATTCGCTTCTTTATAGGTATGAGCAAATGTAACCTGGCGACCCATCGCTAAAGTCTTGATGAGTGAGATAGTCTTCCATAGCTTCCAAGGCACTCTGCCGTTGCCAATCACCATATTCAGCAAAACCTGAGAGTCCATTTCAACGTGAAAAAAGTGGAAATCCGCTGAGATTTGTTTGCCCTCTAGCAATGCCAGGGCTTCCGCTTCCATATTTGTCATGGACCCTAAATACGACGAGAAGCTACTCAGGATATTACCATCAGAGTCGCGAAGTACCCCTCCAACTCTTGAGTGTCCGGGATTTTCTATGGATGAGCTATCAATATTTAACTTGACATACCCAAACGGTGCCAGTGTCCATATGACCCAGCATGAGGGGGCCGCTCTCTCCGTGTCATGGTAATTAATAAGCCTGAGTGTACCAACTCCCCGTCGTCTTGCGTCACTTGGACGAAGGGATGAACCTGAGACATGTTGAGCAGCAAAGCCTTTATGTTCCAACAGACCCGGGACGGTGTTGCAACAATACCCTCGTACATTGCCATGTTTCTGGCTTTCCACAGTTCCCAACATATAAGCGACGGCAACACTCTACACAACTCTTCTCGCACAGTACTTGGAGACTTATAGAGCCACCACTACTGTAAGCGACAGATGATGCCATTGGGAAGCCTAATAGGCAACAAAAGGGCCCTAAAGAAGAAATTCCATAACTCTGTAGCAAGAAAATAGTCGGATAAGATGTGATCCTGAGACTCCCCATCAATACAGAATTGGCACTTAGAGGGGAGCTAGAAACCGAACCTGTGTAAAGCCTTAGGAAAAGGCAGGTAGTGTTTAAGCAGCTTCCACATAAAAATGGCTATTTTGCATGGGATTCGACAGCTCCAGACACACTTCCTTGACCCTAGGCATGCACGTTTAGGCCGCAGTGCATCCCATGCGGAGGAGATGGTAAAATCTCCGGAGGGTGTAAGGATCCAGGCCCGCTGAATCCGGTCGTCTAAATCTATAACCTGCATGAAGTGGTCCACTGTGTCACGAACAACCAGCATTCGTCTCCAAACTCTGGAAGCCGTAGGTAGGGCACCATTGTTTACACTATATCTAGACCTCATATAATTGGCCCACAAGGAAGTTGAATTGCAAAATCGCCACCACAATTTACAGCTGAACGCCCCCTGTATGTCCTCAAAAGATTGCACCCCAAGGCCGTCCTCGTTCACTGGATAACATAAATTCTTCCAAGAGCACCAATGATGCTTAGGACCTAGCTCCGATTGTCCCCAAAAGAAATTTACCATGAGTCGTTCGAGGCATTTGATCACCCTCTTGGGGGGATCCATGACCGCCAACACGTGCAAAGGTATGGCTGAGATGACAGGCTTAATTAGGATCAAGTGACCACCCTGCGAGAGAAGCTTTTTTTGCCAACCCATTAGTTTAGCAACGAATTTTTCAATTAGGAACTAGAAAAACTCTTTTTCTGATGGCCAACATATAAGTTGCATCCCAAATAAGAGAAAGGAAAAGAATCCTGTCTGAAGCCAGTCAAGTGTCGGATACGACGTATTTGGCCAGCGCCGCACCATCTTGACACTATAAAGAAGCTCTTTTGTTTGTTAATCCTTTGCCCCGCTCCCTCTTGATAGAGTGTTAAAAACCGGACCAGGTTCGCCACAGATCGCCTATCCCCACGAGTAAAGATCACAATGTCATCCGCGAAGGATAAGTGTGTGATACGAATGCATTCTCTCTGCAGTGCATGGCTGATACTGCCGTCCACTACCTGCGCACTTAAACCCCTACTAAGGGCCTCAGATGGAAGGATGAATAGAATAGGGGACAGGGGATTGCCTTGCTTAATCCCGTGTGATGCCTGAAAGAAGCCCCTAGATCTACCATTCACCAACACAGAAAACTAGCTCTGAGAGAGGTTATTTAAAACAAGCAAAATAAATCTATAATCGAAACCAAACTTTTGGAGCAGCCGTCTTAGGAACCACCATAATACTCTGTCAAAGACCTTCATCATGTCCAATTTGAAAATGCAATTGAATGTCATTTCCTGGGTCAGGAGGACATTTTCGGCTATATCGCAGTCTGGACAAAATGCAGATTGCTCCGAAAATATAATGCTCGGGAGGACAGCGTGCAATCTATTAGCTAACACTTTCGTAAAAATTTTGTTAACAAAAGTGTACAGGCTAATGGGTCGAAAATCCACAAATGTAGCTGGATTTGGCTTCTTTGGAATCAAAACAATCAGCGTACTAGCAATGTCCTTCGGGATCGAGGTTCTAGCCAAAAAGTCTTTAACTGCTGCCAAGACATCAGGGGCCACAGTATCCCAGCAATGTTGGAAGAAAATGCCAGTGTAACCATCCGCACCCGGGGCACTGTCCTTACTAAGGCAGAAAACAACCCCTTTTATCTCTTCCATTGTTACCTCTCTTAGCAAATCTGCATTCTGGTCCACTGATACAAGCTCCGGCATGTGGATTAGTAATTCATCTACATCCCTGACCTCCTCCGCAGTCAAGAGTCGCTAAAAAAAAGTTAACTGCTTCTTGCACAATTTGTTCCTCATCTTCAGCCCATGCCCCCCTCATCTTTAATGCGGTGCATGACAAGTTTCGATCATTTCTCCCGAACTAAAGCATGGAAAAAGTGTGTATTGCTGTCACCATCCCTCAAGCATCTTAATCGCGCCTTTTGACGCTAGTAGTCCTCTTGAATGTGGAGGCTTTGCAACTGGCGGGCTTGCTCTCGGTGGAGGTCAGTCCTCATCTCATCCGTTGGGTTTGCTTCATACAGGACTTCCTTTTGCTGAACCTCTATCTCGTGTTGCCGAGCAATTTGAAATATATCTCCAAATTGTTGTTTGCTCCATTGTCTTAAACACGCCTTTAGGCGCTTAAGCTTGAAGGCCAAACGGTACATGCCATACCCTTGTGCCGGCAATTCCCAAGTATTCTACACCATCGATAGGAAACCAGGGTTCGAAATCCAAAAAGTTTGAAACTTAAAGGACTTTGGAACACTTGCACTAGTGGACCACGGGCTAACTAGGAGTGGTGAATGGTCAGAAGTGGCGCGATTGAGATACTGGACAGAAGTGTTTGGCAAGAAACTGAGCCATTAGTGATTGGCTAACACCCTATCCAGTCACTTCCAGATTCTAGCACCTGCTCTAATACCTGACCATGTATAAGAACTGCCGGAGTAAGGAAGCTCCTGGAGGCTGCAATCAGAAATCGCCGTATTAAATCAGAGATTGCCCCAAGATCTTGGGCTGCCCTCCCCGTATATTCCGCCAGTGTACTGATAACATTGAAGTCCCTACCCACTAACCATGGCCTTGTGATCAATCCAGTGATAGAGCTCAGTTCAGACCATAGGGTTCGCCTGTCGGCCCTGGTACACTTGGCATATATAAATGATGCATTAACAGTCTCCGTCCGAGAATCATGTCCCGCCAAAATGTGAAGGATTTGCTCCGAATTATATAATACATTAAAATGAAAACCAGAATGCCAAAGCACCCAGATCTTATTTGATGAGTTAAGCAAGCAAAACTCAAAGAGAACTAAGATTGCAATATTATGGAAAACTCAAAGCAAAACTCTTATTTGATGACTTCGCACGCTAGACCTCTATATTATACGCCTCTACCATAGGTTCCAAGAGAACTAAGATTGCAATATTATGGAGTCAAAGTAAGCCTCACAAGCGACGTATAGAAGATTTGTTCATCGCTCCCCTAATGTTCCAAAGTAGAAAATTATGCATTGAGAGAGGGTGGTGAGGTACCTCAATCGCTTTAGAAGCTTGCCGTGTCAGAATCTGCTAGGGTAGCGGGACATGAACCCTCCGCTTCCTCATTTTCCATGAAAGAACCATGGTGAAACCGTCCTCATTACGTTCAACCATTGGCTGGGGCAATCGCGGCCCCAAGGCCTTGTTAAACTATTGAAAGGAGCTGACCAGCGCCGCTCTACCAGGCACAGGTCCTTCTGGCAGTTCCTCTCTATCCGAGAGAGATCCATGGGGGCGCCTTCTCTTGCTCATTCAACCGGAGTTGAGTATCATCATAGATGCTTCCCAAAGCAGGCGGGATCTCAGTAACCTCCAGAAGTTCACTCCCAGCAACTTGCTGCGACGAACCAGCCCTCTCGCGAGGGACAGCAGCCTCCCTCTTCTGCTGCGACGGACCAGCGCTCTCGCACAGGATTGCAGCCTCCCTCTTCTCCTCCTGGAGCTGGACAGCAAGTGGTTCCCTACCATACATCCCTTGTTCATGCTACTCAGCCATGACAGCCTCCTTTCGCTTTGGAACAGAGGCAACACGTAGTGCGCCACCATGCTCACACTTGTCACGCCAACAGGTTGCGCTGGAGTGCCCCTATCTATTGCAAACTGAGCAATACATTGGCAGGTTTTCGTAAGACACCTTCTTCCAGAAACCCTCCCTACCTGCTCCAATCCAAACGCGACTAGGCAGCTCCTGTGAGACATCAATATCAACAAATCCGGGCTACAGTGGGGCGGGCTAGAGTTGTCGTTGCTATGTCAGCCTTTAGGGGGCTGCCAATTGCGGCAACAATGGAGAACAACAAAAACTTGTCAAAAAAGCGAATGGGCAACTTCTCTAAGGCGACCTAGACAGGAGCGCGAGAGGAGTCGCTGGTAAGTTGAAACTCAGAGGACCACTTGAAGACACGTATGGGGAAATCAGCAATGCTCCATAGCCCTTTCATCCAACACCGTAGAAAATCTTCCTCCAAATAGAACCGTATCAGGATATGCCGCTGGTCTAGAATGCCAATGGTGAAGCTTGACTGAAACCTAATTGCGAAGAACGATTTCTGTATAGTGTCAAGGTTTGGCCTCCCATGGGAGAACATCCCAATGACAGCAAACTGGAACGGCATAGCCAACTTGGCAATATCATCCTCCGAGAACAAGACTGCTGGCTCCCCTTTGAACTGAGAGAGTGGCTTTACCTTGCATGGAGACAGCGACGGCTAGTTCTGGAGAACTTCAGCAAACGAACGACTAGCACCTCCTTCTGGCGGCTGGAGGCCAGCCATTGGTGAAACCCTAACTTGCCCAATTTAGAAACTGAAGAAATCGAAGCCGAGAGAAAAATCACAAAACTTAGGAGAGATATCCTTTCGTGTTATGCCTCTACTTTATTCAAGATCTCTTTTTTTTTTATTTATCGAAGTTCAAAATTTATTGAATTTGACTATTGTGAAAATTAAAAGTGATAATGGTATCGAATTTAAACACTGCGATTTTTTGAAATTTTATGATCACAATGGTATTTTACATGAGTTTTTAACTATTAATGTCTCTGAAAAAATGGTATTGTTAAAATAAATAATAAAACTTTTCAAGAAACGCAACAATAATGATAAATGAATGTGATTTGTCAAAACATTTTTGAGTCGAGATGGTGAATACGGCTTATTATGTTTTGAATAGAATACTTTTGAAACTAATTTTAAACAAACTTATGAACTTTTATATGGCAAAAATTCTATTGTTGGTTATTTCAAAATCTTTGATTGCAAGTGTTTAACTTGAATATAAAAGAACATCTTGAAAATTTTGATAAGAAAATGGATGAATGTATTTTCTTAGATTATTCTAGTGATAAAAGGGCTTATAGAGTATATAATAGAAGAACTCTTGTTATTGAAAAAGTCATTCTTGTAACTTTTGATGAACTTAATGATGTTGCCATGGACAGTGCTTTTGAAGATGATGATGTAGGTTTGAAAGAAAAGTATGAAAAATTGACCATCCAAGATGAGGGAAATACTTCAAAGGAAAGCAATCCTCAAGGTGTGGAAGAAGAAGAAGAAGGCAATAAGGATGATAAACCCCCAAAGAATCTTCCTAAGGTTTGGAAGTTTGACAACATCATCCAGACGAGTTAATCATTGGTGATTTATCTGAGAGGGTAAAAGTCCACTCTTCTATTAAATCTCTTGTAGATAATCTTGCTTTACTTTCACAATTTGAAACTAAGAATATGAATAAGGTTTTAAAAGATGATAGTTGGATCATAACTATATAAGAAGAAATGAACTAATTTGAAAGGAACAATGTTTGGACTTTAGTTGATAGACCTTTAAATCATCTGGTAATTGAAACTAAACGGGTATTTAGGAAAAGTTGAATGTTAAAGGCAAAATTGTTAGGAATAAAACTAGATTGCTAGGTAAATAATATGCACAGGAAGAGGGAATTGATTTTGATAACACATTTGCTCCCATAGCTTGATTCAAATCCATTAGAATGTTTCTTACCTATGCTTGTTATATAGGTTTCAAATTATTTCAAATGGATGTTAAAAGTGCCTTTTGAATGATTTTATTGATGAAGAGGTGTATGCTAAATAACCTCCCAATTTTGCAATTAAAAATTTTTAAATTATGTTTTCAAACTTACAAAGGCATTGTATGGTTTGAAACAAGTCCCAAGGGCTTGGTATTAAAGATTAAGTGAATTTTTGATTGAAAATGATTTTAAAAGCGGAGTTGTAATACCACTTTTTTTTAACAAAATTTTATATAAATGATCTTTTAATTGTTCAAATTTATATGGATGATATTATATTTAGTGCCACTAATGAATATTTGTGCAAAGAGTTTTCAAATTTAATGCAAAGGGAGTTTGAGATGAGCAATGATGGAAAAATGAATTTCTTCTTTGGACTACAAATTCAACAAATTCAAGAAAGAGTTTTCATCAACCGAACCAAGTACACAAAAAAAACTACTCAAAAGGTTTGGAATGGAAATTCAAGGGAAGTTGGAACTCCTATGTGTACATCCACCCAACTTAATAAGGATAAAAATGTACCAATGTAAATGAAAAATCTTATAGAAATATAATTGGTAGTTTACTTTATTTAACCACAAGTCGGTTGGATATTATGTTTGTCGTATGCTTGTGTGCTACATTTCAATCATGCCCTAGAGAATCTCATTTAATTGTCGTTAAGCATATCTTTAGATATTTGAAAGGTACAATGATCTATGATTTATGGCATCCTAAATCTAAGAGTTTTGTTTTAATTGGTTTTTTGGATGCCGATTTTGCTAGATATAGAGTAGATAGAAAAAACACCAGTGGTACTTGCCATTTTCTTAGTGATTGTTGTAAGGCCCAAAGATAACCTAAGAGGGGGGTGAATTAGGTTGATTAAAATCTTAATCAAATTTATACAATTTTTGCTTAATAAAAATTTACCTTCTTTTGTAGTAATAATCAATCAAGTAGATTAGAAGAAGAGAGCAATATTGATTCGAAAAACAAGTATAGATAAGCAATGAGAATTTTATTAAACAAAAAGAATAAGATAGAATATCAAACCGATTGTCTACCAAGCTTTCCTCCAACTTGAAGACCAATCACTAGGTTGAGCAACTTCTCTTTGATGAAAGATGATCAACTAGATGTACAATGGAGGGAGCACTTCCT